AGTCCTGTAACTGTGGGGTACAGCTTTTCTTAATTGTGTTCAAGTCCACCCTTTGTGTTTGTATGCCATTTTATTTCTACCTCTTCAGAGCTCCCGCTTACAAGAAGCAGAAGATGTTCAAGGACGAGCCTTTCACTTTTCTCAAAAAGGACGACGAACGGTGGTCCGATATCAAGTGAGCTACTTGCTATATTTGTTGCCTAGAATATCAACGAAAAAACAAGGCGAAAACTTCAAGCCCTGCCACATTCCTTTCCCAAACGCGAAAAAAAGCTAAAATTTCTTCTTTCCAATTGAGCTCGATTAATTTAAAGCTCTCAGCACAGCTACTATAAAGTTAATCTCCTTCTCGTTTTAGTAAGAAAAATAGTAAAATCTATCTGTTGCGTCAATGATGAATCCTTGTTATGTTTGTTTTTTAGAGCATTAGAGTAATCAGAAAACTTATGTTTTCATTGGAACAAAAACACTCAACCCCGAAACATTTTTTCCTGTTAGTTGACGTACTGCTTTGCAACCATTATTGTTTGGCATTGTTCGATAAAGTGAACTTGGTCAGTGATAGCTCAGTGACGCCAATCGCTACGGTATATGTAAAGAGTGAGGGTCAAGTAGGAAATTTCTGCGATTCCCCATGAGACTTGGATGTTTACTATCTCATGGAGCTACTATGTGTAACATGCGCGATTGCTCATTTAGCTTAGGTTATATATAGTTCAGATTCCCCCGGCGGCTTTTTGAGCGATTTTCAACTAGTTTAGTTTTTGAAAATTTCTGCTCTAAATTCTTTATACTTCTGACATTTTGTATCGATATCACCTTTATATCGCTTTTTTAATATGGGTGCGGATTAAGTGTTACTGATTTTCTGAGTTAACATGATTTGTGATTATCGTCTTGGATTGGAGAGGCTATGTTTTTTGCCAGATAAAGAATGATTGATCGTACGAAAACTATCCTCACACGTATCCATCTTTTGTTGAGGCTCATATATATACAGGGGGGGGCCAAAAAAAAAGACATTTTGCCTATGTCGGACTTCGGCCCTTTTTTCTTCGCAGAGATTGCCGGCGTTGACGGGAGTTCCTCAGCAGAGTATTCCCTAAGTGTCCCTCTATAAGTGAACGCAGGCCCTCCTTCACTGCCCTCACCGTCTTCAGAATATGACGTCATCTGTCACCGTCGTCAGGCTCAAGGAGGTCTACGTAAGAGCTTCAGCCTGAAGCTCTTACGCAATTTCGTGAATCGATTTAATGTTGGATAGTTTTCTAGAGGCATTAGCTACCACTGTGCAAATCCCCTCGGAACTAGCTTTCCAGTAAGGGTCGTTATGGTACACGATCCTTCGAAGACCCCATTGAGCTCGACCAGTGCACCATGTTTCCAGGGCAAATTCTTCTGTTGCCGTCCACGTGGGTGGCCAACATGAAGATTTTCTTATAGAATGAAATGTGCTCTTCAATATTAAGTTGGGAACACTCGGTCTCAATTGAGCAAAGTGTGCTTAAATCCATCTGAAAGTGGAGACAAAATGTCTTTTTTTTATTGCCCCCCCCCCCCTGTGTAAGCCTGACCTAATTCACGCCTCCAACTCTTCTTGATCCGTCTCCTAATCGAATTGTTCATTATTCTGGAGCTTTGCCCTAGCGGATCGCTCTCCTTTGGGCTCCAAGGTTTCCCCAATGTCCCTGCGGATGATAAGATGACTGGCTACGAAGGCAAACAGCTGCAGTTTTCAGTAGTGAACAAAATCTGTCACAATGTAGTGCATGTCCTGTTCTGTCTTGGTATCACGATTATGGCTAGAGAACATGTGATTCCTGTACTGTTTAAAAACCATGAGAGATTTATCAGAATGCATGCAGAACAAAATTCATTGCAGTTTTTTTTTTGTTTCAGAAATCACTACGGCGTCCCGAGATGATTTCGAATACGAGAACCTCTTCAGTCGCCGACTCGCTGAGCATGATGTTAACTGCCGCCAGTTGTTTTACGCAAATACTGCGGTGAAAGACTTTGTGGTGAGATATAGAGTCAATCAAGTGAGGTCCCTGGTAATCGATCAACTGGTCAATGATTTCAGCAACGGAACATGACAGCTGTATCAATTCAAAACGCTGGCATGAAGATGTTCAGTCGAAACGAGCAGAAGGTAGAAACGACACGATTCCGCTTATCACAGGAAGGAATTCGACATCTTTCTACCGTACTTGCAAAAACAGTTTGTGAGTATTCCGTCTTGAATTATTTCCCCCTTGTTTAGGTCATTAATGAGCTCTGTTTTGATTGCATATTACCATGTGTGTCCTAGATCGAATGATTTGATTTCGTTGTGCGTTTAGGTGAAAATTGATGAAGAGGATATGCTGAAAATCCTGAAAACTGAAGAAACGATGATACCGCTGGAATCTCTCAATTGTAAAGAATGCGATTAGGGAGCAAGGTGCTGGAAGTCTCGTGTTGTTCTCCGACAAAGCCAATCCTGTTTGCACTTGGGTAGGATTTATCAACCCTGTTTCCAATAATTCTTTTGATTACGATCAGTTAATCTTATTTACCAAGTTATGAAAGGATTAAGGCTAGGATTATTTCCTTAAAACTAAACACGTACGCTCCTTCCCATACAACTATCCGCGGAAAGGATAGTCGTATCAGTTTGTTGATGTTCGAGTGCATGGTAGCCCAGGGTTTTCCTCAGATTTTGTTCAGAAAAAAAGCTTGATCACAAAAATGGTTCGAGGGTGCCCTTCGTCATTGCTCGTTTGTCTCCCGAAATCGGAGACATACGAATACGTGAGTGGGAGGCTAATGCTTGCTGAAGATGCCGTTGATTCCAATAGCAACTGCTTGCGTTACTTTCCATCGAAATTGGAGTGTTGTGCCTTGAAAGTGGTGTCTTGGCGATTTAGCTGAGTCTGAGTTTGAAGTAGGAGCCTTTGAGGGAAGGAGCTCCACAGGATGAAGAAGAGTTCAGTTGAGAACATGTAGTTCGCTCAACCCTCTTTTCTTTCCTTCTATTCCAGTACTCCTTCTTTTCAAAGTGTTTGGATAGGTTCTAACACAAATTATTTATACATTTTTTTGATGACGAATTGCCTTTTCAATTTTACCATAAGTCTTTCAGGTGGGATTCCATACAGTTGCTCCTTATGTGAGCAAGGAGGAGCGAGTTCATATGCTCCGAATGATGGGAGTAGACTGTTCGGAAATTGAGCAAATGATGAAATCAAAAAGGAAGCAGAAGGTACACTAGCATATAATTTGCACTGTTTTTCCGCTAACATATCTTATTTAGGCGGCTGCTGATCGGAAAGCTGCCTGGGAAGAAGCCCAAGCGGAGAAAGCAGCAGAAGGAGCTCGAGAACTGGTTGAAGAAGAGACATCAAATTTATCTGTAAACGATGAAGAGAACAAAAATGGCAGTGGAGATGTTGCTGCATAGGTCGTACTGCTGTTTGACTTAGGATCTATTCTGTATCTTGAAATGGTGCGTTGTTCTGCTTCTCTGCAGGAGTTCTAATTTATTTTGTTGGTAATTGAAAGGTCTATATTTCTGTTGATTTCTTTATTTTGCGATGTTTTACTGTGCTATTGATTTGTTGAGCAATGGTTGAAAAATGTTGTTAAATGTAATTGTTGACTCATCAGTGCAAGCCTGTTGAAATGAAGCCTTCGCTCTGCTCTTCCTTGTTGCTGTTCAATACGATGAAGAGTTCGGTGAATACTGTTACACTTATTACGCCAAGAATAGAGCCCATTATCTTGCTTGCCATTATCTTGTGTCACCCAATGGGAGGGTGTTTGTTGCGATAAGAATTTTGGTGACTAATCGAGCCATAATTTTGCTGTAACAACTGCCGTAGTTGGCTGTGTAGTATCTGGTGAATTTGTGCTGCAATTTATTATGTTGTGCTGAATCGAGTTGAGCAGCCTGTTTTGACGTGTCGCGACCGTTTCATTTGTTGGCTGCTGCACATTACCCTGGGTAAAAGCCTGTTTATATGGACTCAATAGAAAAGCTTATGCCTCCGCACAATCAACATTCGAGCAGTTTAAATTCTGCCTAAGCATTTAAAAATACTTCTTCAAGGAATGCGACGAGAGTTGTTAGGGTGT